CTTTACTTACGATATATCGATGATATATTTATTACTATTAACTGGCCCATACAACATTTGTTAAAACAAATTAACCGTTGGAATCAATTCGACATAAATATTAAATTAAAAGAACAAATTGGCCAATCAACGAATTTTCTTGATTTATATATAGAAAATAAAAAAGATAGACTATTTACAAAAGTTTACGACAAGCCATCATATAAACCATATTATTTACCATTTACAAGTGTTCATCCCAACCATATGAAAATGAATATACCCTATACAATGTTAATTCGTGCAATTAAATATTGTTCTACATTTGAAACATATGTAGATGAACGTGAAAAATTAAGAATGGCTTTTCTATTGAATAAATATCCAAATGAATTTATCGATAAACAATTCGATCGCGTATTCCAAAAACATAATTTAATACAACCTGTAGCCGCAAACGATTACAAAATTATACGAGAAAAATTAATTTATTCACAAAAAAATGAAAACATTCAAATTGATTATAGAAGAACACTATTTGTTCATTTTACATATTGTTTAAACATGAAAACATTCCCGACAAAATTTCATGCACTTTGGAACAAATATTTTACAGAATCTCCAATAAATGAAATAAAACCGGTGCTAGGTACTCGTAATGTTAGAAACCTACAACAACAATTGATAAAAAATAAATAATAAACTCCATTTGATATATTATTTATTAAACCAAGTGAAAAGATTAATTGAACCAAATGAAAAGATTAATTAAACCAGGTGAAAAGATTAATTAAACCAAGTGAAAAGATTGATTCAAAAAATTCAAAAATCCAAAAATTAAAAGTTAAATTTATATGACTATTTCTTCTATGATATCGACGGAAATTTAAACAATTAGCAGATGTCGATGTTTCTAGTAAAGGAAGTTTGTCCTTTATTATTTAACTCTTGTAAAGGACGTTAGTCCTTTTAATTTAGTATTTGATATTTTATTTTTATTGTTTACTTTTCATTGTTGTCCTTCGTCGCCGTTGAATTCTTTGTTATTACTGTCATCTTCTATCATATAAAAAATTTTATGTAAAAAAAATTTTTTGTCATTGTACGCGTATTCTATACGTCTTCCTTTTTTTTAAACCAAATGTTTTTCTTTTTTTATCCTAGTGGTGCATACAACTATATGTATTTCTAATAACTATTTTATTTCTTGTGCCTTGATTGTAAATGCAGAGCCCTGATGAGTGTTTCATTATTTTAATAAATAACATGAAACGCGTTGGCAAATTAAGGACTGCATTTATTTAAATTAATTTCTTTGGCACAAGTCACAAAAAAGTTTTTTATTCATCTAACTCTCGACAAAAAAAATTGATTGCTGAGAAGCAAACGTGAGATACCAGCAGATTGTATTTATCTTTGTTTCTCATCATAGATAGGACAGTCTGTTTTTCAATAGTTTCAATGACGTGCATGCTTCATGTTGGTTTCATGAGTCTAACGACTTCTTCTCTTGATTTTTCCTCTCTTCAAAAATAAAAAAATCTTCCGTACTTGGGGGAATACATTCTTCGACAAAATTTCTCATTAAAGATTTTCTCTGGGTACCATTTCAAAATTGTCCAAAATACACGTTATACTCTTTCTTAAGTAAAAAGCTTGCTACCAGAGTAGTATGTGGATCTAGTGTTTGGTTCCTTCGGGTAATCATACAGATCTAAATGTTTGTGATTAAAGCCAACCGATGATTCCTTTAGCCGGGATGAAATCTAGATATTGGCAGCTCCATCACACCCACACCCACAAGCTGAAGACGAAAGAACAATTTTTTAGAGACAACCAGCCCCCTCAAGAAATAGAGAATGAAAAAGATAAATTATTTCTGATAGCTAATGCGTATTACCAACAGAGACATTTTGAGGAAGAAAGTAAAAAATGGAAAATATATGAGCAAGCAGCTAGTCGTAAGGAAAACCCCTCAACTAAAGATGGAGATGATATCCTAATGGTAGAAGTGGAAGAAATACCCCAAGCAAGACCCTTCCGAGAGAGATACTCAGCCATCCTAAATATGACAGTAAGTGACACAGATAGCCAGAGTAATGAGAATAGTAATAGTGAGGATAAGGAAGAAAGTAGTGAGAATAGTGAGACAGATGAAGAAGATAAAAAGAAAAGAAAATTAAGAGATACTAGTATATCACCCACCTCCAAAGAGAAAATAGATAAAATTAGTTTAAGAAAAAAGAAATCCAAGCCTAAGAAGAAAAAGAAAATTCCAATTGAGAATGACCCAAGAGCCCCAGAAGGTAGCCCGATATTATTAGTTAGTGAGAATAGCAATAAGGAACCAGTAGAAAAGAAAGCAAGACCCGACACCCCAGTTGATTCAGCAGCAAAGAGACCCCGACTTTTTTCACACGTTTTCAAACCACCGAGAGTAGCCCCCCGATCTCAACAACAACAAGAGATAGTCATCCAACATGAAGAAGTTTTACCCCTTTTACCAACAACACCACCAGTTTCAAGTCCACGACAGAGTACACCGAGAACACCAATAGCACCACCAAGACCATTAACAACAAGTCCGCAAATTGAGCCATCATACCAAGTTGAGAATAGAGATGAACCCCAAATAGTTGAGATTATACAAGTTAATGAGCAGGTAGCACCAATGGAACAAGAAATAGTTAGAAATTCACCCTCAGTAATTCCCAAAGATATGGAGGACTTTAAAATAGAATTATTTGACTTTCCGATTATACCAATTGAATGTAAATTCCATTTTAAGATCTTCCATATCAGAGCGAATAGAGAAAATATAACAGCACATAGAGAATTCTTAGAAAAGAAAGCGAAACAACAGGAAATTGAGTTAGAACATCTAATGGAAAATTCCAATGGAGATATACGTAGAATAGTAGTAAAGTATATTAGAGAGATAGTTGACCCACTGATAGATAGTTTAAAAATTTCAAACCAGAAGCGCTTAGACAACCTTATCTTAGACCAGATGAAAGAAAAGGCCTTAAGAACAATTAGAAATAGTAAAGATAAGAATAGTTTAGAATCTATAGATAAGGCACAGATAAGATTTGAGCGTACATTACAACTGAAATATCAGCTAGATAAGTTAGATAGAAGATTAAATGAGAATATGCCCCCACCATCATTAAATATAATAGATAAGTTACAGTTTCGTAGTAAGGAATTAAATAAGGAAATTATAGATCAGTATAATGAGCAGTGGAATAATATCTTGAGAAAGACTAAGTTAGATCTAACATCCATAATGAGAATAGCTAAAATTACAGAAATAGATAAGGGGGAGAAAGAATATTTAGAGTTAGTTGAGAAAATACCCTTAGAGATAAGATC